TTCTCCATTGTCTTGGATATTAGTAGTTGACTCCTTTTTACTTATGCAAATTTCTGTAGCCTTTGAGAGAGTTGGGAGGGAAGTGCCACATGCTTTTAAATGACTAGATCTCATGGGAACCTACTCACTATCACAAGAACAGCACCAAGGGGGGACATCCACCCCCATGATCCAAGCACCTCCCACCATGCCCCACATCCAACATTGGGGATTACAATTTGACATGAGATTTGGGTGGTGTCACAGACCCAAACCATATCACAAAAGGGAAAAATTAGCCAAAAGAAAGTGGATACAGGTCTCATGCGAGTCTGAAACCCAGCAGGGCTGTCGTTAAGCCTTAAGGCTTCAAAATAATCTCATTAGATTCCATGTTCCACATCCATGACACACTGGTGTGGCCGGTGGGCTCCTAAGGCTGTTGGCAGCTGCACTCCTGTGGCTTTGCAGGTGCACAGTGCAAGCTTCCAATGGATCTACTGTTCTGGGGTTTGGAGGATGGTGGCCCTCTTCTCACAGCTCCACTAGACGGTGCCCCAGTGGGGACTCTTGTAAATAGACCTTCTGTGATGTGGTGGTAAGGTGTGGGAGGAAGGGAAGCAATTTGTAATCCTATGATTGGGGCTTTTAGTGAGCCTGTGACCTTGGGCTATGAACTTCACAAGTGCTTCTCAGTTTTTTCCCTTCTGAGGTTGGACAGAATGGCTAGGGAGTGCTGCAGTTGGGTATTTCCCTTCCTTAGGGTTGGTTAGGCTGTAATAAATCCAACAGGTTATGCTCTAGTAACCATAGTTTCTCTTGAGGGCAGGCCTTGATAAGAAAAACAAAATGCTCTGGTGCATTTCAAAATGATTCTTTTCCCCCTTTCCTGACTGGAAGTCAGAAGGGATTTTTCTCCAGGCTTCTCTTTGAGAATTTGGTAGAGGCTCTGGAGGTATAACTCACGGAAATGCGGGGACCTCCCCCCCATGACTGCATCCCCTAGGAGTTTGTCCACACTGAACCTCCAGCAATTCATGAGTTTTCCTACTCTAGAACTTGTTCCCGTGGAAGTTTATGCTCTGATAAGTTGTGATTCTCTGTATCTATCTCTCTATCTATCTATCTCTCCAATTTTGTGGGCAAAAGTTTGCCTCATGATCTCACTTCTCTGACAGATCAAGGAAAGTTTCTGGTTTTTCAGTTTTTGTTCATATTTTACTTGTTAGAATAGAGCGGTGATTTCCAAACACCTTCCATGCTCTACCATAGTTAGGGTTTCTGTAACATCATCACCACAATCATCTTATCACATTCTTTCTGGATTAATCATCATATCACATTCTTTTGGGATCATTTTCTGCTCAGACTTATTGAGCAATTACTATGTTTCAGATGATATTCTAAGTGTTCTACCTGTATTGTCAACAACCCTATGAGAGTTACATGTACTGATTTAGTTTGAGTTGCCTAGAAACTGAACCTGCAACAGTATTTTGTGTACATGAGATTTATTAAGAGAATGCTTTTAGGAAAAACTGGTAAGGGAGAGAGGGAAACAGAGTAAGGAAAGAAGGTGCTACATAAGGGTAGGATTTCAGGTGTGGTCTCAGCCTGATCCACTGGGAGCTTTTGAGTGTAAATTGCACTATGTCCCATTGTTGAGGAAGGGGCAGGGCTATTGTACCCTTGCCCTATTAGTTATGAATCATGGTGAGGGCCTTCTTACCCTTTCCATTTTACAAATGAGGAAATTGAGGCACAGAGAAATTAAAGAATTTGCTTGAGGCCACATGGCAAGTTAGTGGTGGAATTGAGTTTGGATCCCAGACATTGTGGTTCTCAAATTACTTTGGTTTTTTTTTTTTTTTTAGATGGAGTTTAGCTCTGTTGCCAGGCTGGAGTGCAGTGGTGCAATCTCGGCTCACTGCAACTTCTGACTCCCTGATTCAAGCGATTTTCCTGCCTCAGCCTCCTGAGAGTAACTGAGGTTATAGGCATGGGCCACTATGTCCAGCTAATTTTTATATTTTTTAGTAAAGATGGGGTTTCTCTATGTTGGCTAGGCTTGTCTTGAACTCCTGACCTCAGGTGATCTGCCTGCTTCAACCTCCTAAATTGCTGGGATTACAGGCGTGAGCCACTATGCCTGGCCTCAAGTTACATTTTTATATTGCATTTTATAAGGAACAACCAACTACTTATTTGACCTTCCAAAACGCTATGAGGTAGCTGGGCACCAATGATTATTCTTATTTTTCAGATGAGGAAACTGAAGATCAAATCTAAGGTTTTCTTTTTTTTTTTTACATCCAGGTCCTGGTCTTCCGTCATAAATCAATTAGAGACTGTAAAGTCATTCTGTCATAAATCAATTAGAGATTGCTTCACTGACTAAATGACATAGAATAAAATAACATTTACCTGATTTAGGAACATAGAACTTGAAAACTATAGAGTTTCTGTACTCTGGGTGACTCACAGGATTTAATGGAAAACCTCATCCGATCCATAGGGGAGTGCCCCTAGCTCTTACTCAGATGTTATTTTAAACCACTGGCTGATTTTCTCAAGTGAGTAAATTTAATGTTTTGTAATTACAAAGTAATAACAAGAACAGCATTCTGATATTTAAAAATGTTTATTTATTTTATTTTTTTGAGACAGGGTTTCACTCTGTTGCCCAGGCTGGAATGCAGTGGTGCAAAAGCAGCTCACTGCAGCCTCAACCTCCTGGGCTCAAGTGATCCCCCTACCTCAACTTCCTGTAGCTGGGACTACAGGCATGTGCCACCAAGCTTTGCTAATTTTTTATTTTTTGTAGAGATAGGGTCTCACTATGTTGCCCAGGCTGGTCTCAAACTCCTAGGCTCAAGTGATCATCTTTCCTTGGCCTCCTGAAGTGCTGGGATTACAGGTGTGAGCCACCACACCCGGCTCAGCATTCTACCATGTAATTCCTGATTGCAGAATAGTTAAAAATTTTATAAGAAGAGCTTTACCAGGAGGGAATTCAGGATGTTATTGGGGAGAATAATACAATTATTTATTATCTTCATTAATATTCTGGGAAAAAGGGATTGTAAGTTAATGAGGTTATAAATTTTAGTAGAAAAGAGGAATGAGAAACTTGGGAAAAAGCTGTTCCATCTGGGCAGCATAATTTGAAACAGAGCTTTTTAATAGTAGGCTTTTTGAAATTCATTTCTTGAAAATCTGAAGAATGCAAACAATTGAAGTTTGCACTGAAACATGGCAACAGCACAAATTGCCGAAATGTGTGGTCTACATTTGCTGCTTCTGTTTCTTGTTCCCCAATTCCTTTTAATTCCTTGAAAACCTGATTTCTAGTCACTTGTCAATTGCTCCTAGACTTATTCTCTACTTTTTTCCCATGTTGTCGTATCAAACCTACATATCTGAGGAAGTGTGGCTGTTGTGAGGCTCTGGCAGAAGATGTCCGGTGGTTTCTTTGGCAGTGGCTCAGTCTCCTCCGTGATTCCAGGTTCTACAGACCTTTTTCTGTAGTCCAAACTCATGGTAGGCAGCCTCTGCCTTTCTGATTTCCACTGGCAGACCTGGCTCCTGGCTTTGATGTCACCCCTCTATCTTGTGTCCTATCAGCCCTAGCAGTGGCAAAACTTCCAGGTATCGCTAACTTTGCATTAACTTGTTCATTTAGCTTCTCAACTCTTCTATCACTCAAGTAATGAATTCCCTGTATTAAATTCCTCCTGCTTGAATTGGCTTTCCTCAATTTTATTTGTTGTTGTTATATTATTTTTATAGAGATAAGGTCTCACTCTGTCACCCAGGCTAGAATGCAGTGGTGTGATCATAGCTGACTGTAACCTTGAATTCCTGGGCTCAAGCGATCCTCCTGTCTCAGCCTTCTGAGCAGCTGGGACTATGGGTGTGAGCCACCATGTCTGACTAATTAAAAAAAGATTTTTAGTAGAGATGCGGTCTCACTATGTTGCCTAGGATGGTCTTGAACTCTTGGCCTCAAATAGTCCTTTTGCCTTGGCCTCTCAAAGTGCTGGTCTTAGAGGTGTGAGCACAATGACTGATCTTTAATTTTTAATTATTTTTGCTTGTTATAGTTTTGTTCTTGTACCCTCTTTTTTACTCTCCATATTTCTTTCTTTTTTTAAAAAATATATTTTATTGTGTTTTAGATTTTGGGGTACATCACACCTGGCTAATTTTTGTATTTTTAGTAGACATGGGGTTTCACCATGTTGGCCAGGCTTGTCTCAAACTCTTGACCTCAAGTAATCTGCCCACCTCAGCCTCCCAAAGTGTTAGAATTACAGGCTTGAGCCACCAAGCCCAGGGATCTTTCAACTTTTAAGAGAAGCCAGGAATCTCCATTTTTGTGTGATTATTTCCCGATTTGAAAACACTGGAAATGTGTACTATATCTGATTTTTTTGGACTTTCCAGTTATATCAGCAAACCTTCGATTTGAAAACATATTTATACCTATGTTCTATGGAATGTACTGTATTTATAGCCATTTTCTGGCATCCTATTGGGTTCAGCCAATGAGAGGAACAGGTAGGGGAGGGAGGCAGGAGAATGGCATCTCCAGGCAGATTGCTTTCATGGCTGGGCAGTGAAGGTCACTCCTTTTGGACCATGGCTTTGGCTATCATGGAGGAAATTATTAATTGAATAACATTGCAACATGATGCCTAAAAAAGCTAGATCTACAACTCACAGGGATGTTATTGACCAGTCTTGGTACAGAGTTTTGCTTTCAATTATTGTTAGAAGCAGGAGTTTACTGCTCATTGATCCATCTTCCCCGAGATGTGTCACATCAGAAGTGGGACCTTTTTTCTCATTGGCTTCACTACTCCTAGCGTTTTTATATAACAATGCCAGTAACTGGCATGTCATTTGCAATTAGCAGTTTTAGATGAGTAGAAAGTTACTTTTGTTTTTGTTTCTTAAAATTTTTAATTTTTGGAGAAGCATCCCAGCAACCCAACCACGGCCAGTCTTCCCTGGACACCATGAACTATATGGTCCAAACCTTCTTCACTCCTGCCAGCACCAGCTGTCCCCCGAACTATGAGATGCTGAAGGAGGAACATGAGGTGGCTGTGCTGGGGGCGCCCCACAACCCTGCGCCCCCGACGTCCACCGTGATCCACATCCGAAGCGAGACCTCCGTGCCCGACCACGTCATCTGGTCCCTGTTCAACACCCTCTTTATGAACTCCTGCTGCCTGGGCTTCATAGCGTTCGCCTACTCCATGAAGTCTAGGGACAGGAAGATGGTTGGCGACCTGACTGGAGCCCAGGCCTATGCCTCCACCGCCAAGTGCCTGAACATCTGGGCCCTGATATTGGGCATCATCAGGACCATTCTGCTGATCATCATCCCAATACTGATTCTGCAAGCCTATCAGTAGATCAGAGGAATCATCCCGGCCAGGGGCTCTGCCCGTGACCTGTCTCCCACGTACTCCAGCTTCCATTCCTCGCCCTGTCCCCAGCCGATCCTGTATCAGCCTTTTACCCTCACACACTTTTCCACAGTTGTGTTCAATAAAGTGCACATGTTCCTGGAAAAAAAATTTTTAATTTTTAAGTTTCATGGGTACACAGTAGGTATATATTTATGGGATACATGAGATGTTTTGATATGGGCATGCAATGTGTAATGATCACATCATGGAAGATAGGGTATTCATTCCCTCAAGCATATATCCTTTGTGTTACAAAAAGTCCAGTTATACTCTTTTAATTATTTTAAAATTAAACTATTTTGACTATAGTCACCCTGTTGTGTTAAAAATTATTTTGACTGTACTCATCCTGTTGTGTTATCAAATACTAGGTATTATTTACTCTCTTTTTTTGTACCCATTAAGCATTTCCACCTCCCCTCTGTCCCCCTCACTGCCCTTCCCAGCCTCTGATAATCATCCTTCTACTCTCTATCTCTGTGTTCAATTGTTTTGATTTTTACATCCCACAAATAAGAGACAACATGGGATGTTTGTCTTTCTGTGTCTGGCTAATTTCACTTAATATAATGACCTCCACTTCCATCCATGTTGTTGCAAATAACAAGATCTCATTCTTTTTTTATGGCTGAATATCACTCCATTGCGTATAAGTATCACATTTTCTGTATCCATTTTTCTACTGATGGACACTTAGGTTGCTTCCAAATCTTGGCTGTTGTGGACAGTGGTGCAACAAACAGGGGACTGCAGCTGTCTCTTTGATATACAATTTTCCTTCTTCCTCTTTTTTTTTTTTTTTTTTTTTATTTTGAGACCTAGTCTCACTCTGTGGCCCAGGCTGGAGGGCAGTGGCACAATTCAGTTCATCACAACCTCCGCCTCCCGGGTTCAAGTGAGTCTCCTGCCTCAGCCTCTCGAGTAGCTGGGATTACAGGCACATGCCACCATGCCCGGCTAATTTTTTGTATTTTTAGTAGAGACGGGGTTTCACCATATTAGGCAGGATGGTCTCGATCTCTTGACCTTGTGATCCACCTGCCTTGGCCTCCCAAAGTGCTGAGATTACAGGTGTGAGCTACCGCGCCCGGCCTATGATTTCTTTTCTTTTGGGTATATATCCAGCAATGAGATTGCTGGATCATTTGGTAGCTCTGTTTTTAGTTTTTCAAGAAACCTCCATACTGTTCTCTGTAATGGCTGTACTAACTTACATTCCCACCAAGAGCATATGAGGGTTCCTTTTTCTCTACATCCTCTCCAGCATTTGTAATTGCTTGTCTTTTGGATATAAGCCATTTTAACTGGAGTGAGATGATATCTCATTGTAGTTTTGATTTGCATTTCTCTGAAGATGCGTGATGTTGAGCACCTTTTCATATGCTTGCCTGCCATCTTTTGTCCACTAAAAAGAAAAAATTATTAGATTTTTTTCACTATCGAGTTATTTGAACTCCTATATATTCTGGATATTAATCCCATGTCAGATGGGTAGTTTGCAAATATTTTTTTCCATTCTGTGGGTTGTCTCTTCATTTTGTTTATTTTTCCCTTCACTGTGCAGAAGCATTTAAACTTGATGTGATCCCATTTGTCCATTTTTGCTTTGGTTGCCCATGCTTGTAGGTTATTATTCAAGAGATTTTTGCCCAGATTAATGTCCTGGAGATTCACCCCAATTTTTTCTTGTAGTCATTTCATAGTTTGAAGTCTTAGATTTAAGTCTTTAATCCATTTTGATTTGATAGGGATCAAGTTTTATTCTCCTGCATGTGGATATCCAGTTTTCCCAGCACCATTTATTGAAGAGACTCTTCTCCAATGTATGTTCTTGGCACTTTTGTAAAAAAATGAATTTACTGTAGGTGTGTGGGTTTGTTTTTGCGTTGTCTATTCTGTTCCATTATATATATATATATATATATATATATATATATATATACATATAATTGCATTTTAGGTTCTGGGGTACATGTGCAGAACATGCAGGATTGTTGCATAGGTACATATATGGCAATGTGGTTTGCTGCCTCCATCCCTGTCACCTATATCTGGCATTTCTCCCTATGTTATCCCTCCCCAAATCCTTACCCCCCACTGTCCCTCCCCTAGTCCCCCCCAACAGACCCCAGTGTGTGATTTTTCCCTCCCTGTGTCCATGTGTTTTCATATGAGTGATAACATGCTGCATTTGTTTTTCTGTTCTTGTGTCAGTTTGCTGAGAATGATGGTTTCCAGGTTTATCCATTTCCCTGCAAAGGACACAAACTCATCATTTTTTATGGCTGCATAGTATTCCATGGTGTATATGTGCCACATTTTCCTTGTCCAGCCTATCGTCGATGGGCATTTGGGTTGGTTCCAGGTCTTTGCTATTGTAAACAGTACTGCAATGAACATACATGTGCATGTGTCTTTATAATTGAATGATTTATAATCCTTTGTATATATACCCAGTAATGGGATTGCTGGGTCAAATGGAATTTCCATTTCTAGGTCCTTGAGGAATTACCACACTGTCTTCCACAATGATTGAACTAATTTACACTCCCACCAAAAGTGTAAAAGTGTTCCTATTTCTCCACATCCTCTCCAGCATCTGTTGTCTTCAGATTTTTTAATGATTGCCATTCTAACTGGCATGAGATGGTATCTCAATGTGGTTTTGATTTGCATTTCTCTAATAATCAGTGACGATGAGCATTTTTTCATATGTTTGTTGACCTCATATATGTCTTCTTTTGAAAAGTGTCTGTTCATATCCTTCATCCACTTTTGAATGGGTTTGTTTGTTTTATTCTTGTAAATCTGTTTTAGTTCTTTGTAGATTCTGGATATTAGCCCTTTGTTAGATGGGTAGATTGCAAAAATTTTTTCCCATTCTGTTGGTTGTGGGTTCACTCTAAAGATGGTTTCTTTTGCTATACAGAAGCTCTGGAGTTTAATTAGATCCCATTTGTCCCAGAATAATACCTTCCAGATGTCAGCCTGAGCTCTCCTTTATGAGGTGTCTCTTTGGATATATGGGGGTCAGGGAGCTACTTGAGGAGACAGTCTGTCCCTTATAGGAGCTCAGGTACTAAGCTGTGAGCTCTATTGTTCCATTCAGAGCTGCTGGGCAGGTACCTTTAAGTCTGTTGCAGCAGAACTCATAACCACCTTTTTTCCCCAGGTGCTCTGTCCTGGAAAGGTGGGGCTTTATTCATAAGCTTCCGATGTGCTGCTGCCTTTTTTCAGAGATGCCCTGCCAAGTGAGGAGGTAGCCTAGTCACAGTCTGCCAGAAGAGGTGTTGCTGAGCTGCTGTGGGCTCTGCCCTGCTGCCGTGTGAACTTCCTTGTGGTTTTGTTTATAGAGGGATAGTTAGAACTGCCTCAGTAATGGTGGTCTGCCTCAGTAATGGTGGACTGTCTCTGTAATGGCAGACTGCCTCGGTAATAGTGGTTTGCCTCAGTAATGGCGGATTGCCTCAGTAATGGTGGACTGCCTTGGTAATGGTGGACAGCTTCAGTAATGGCAGACTGCTTTGGTACTGGTGGACTGCCTCGGTAATGGCTGGCACCCTTCCCCCCACAGGTGGTCCAGCTGTGCTTGCTGTGAAACTCTCAATCCAGATCATTTCAGGTTGCTGGTCTTTGTGGGGTTGGGACCTGCCAAGCCAGATCACCGGGCTCCCTGTTTCCACTCCCTTTTTTTCAGTTGAATGAGTGACTCTGTCTCCCAGGCATTCCAGGTGCCAGTTGAAACAGCCGCCCAGATTTCTGTGAGTTTTTGTGTGGAGACCTGCTGCACTAGCTGAAACAGCCATGCTGGAGACTCATGGCACTTTTCTGCCCGGGAATCTCCTGGTCTGTGGGCAGTAAAAACTTGTTTGGAAATGTGGTGAGCACTCACCCTCTGCATTCTTGCTGGGAAATGCACTCCAGAGCTGTTCCTATTTGGCCATCTTCTGTTCCATGGTTTATATGTCTGTTTTTATGCCAGTAATATGCTATTTTGGTTACTATAGCTCTGTAATATAATTTGAAGTCAGGTAATGTGGTTCCTCTAGTTTTTTTCTTTTTGCTCAGGATAGCTTTGGCTATTCTGGGTCTTTAGTGGTTCTACATAAATTTTAGAATTACTTTTTTACTTATGTGAAGAATGTCATTAGTACTTTGATAGGGGTTGCATTGAATCTGTAGATTGCTTTGAGTAGTATGGACATTTTAACAATATCTAAATATCTTTTTTTGTGTGTGTTTTCTTAAGTTTCTTGCATCAGTATTTGATAGTTTTCACTGTATAGATCTTTCACATCTTTGGTTAATTCCTAGGTATTTAATTTTATTTAGGGCTATCATAAATGAGATTTTTTTTTTGGATTGATTTTTTTTCAGTTTTTTGACTGCTGGCATATAGAAATGCTACTGAGTTTTGTATGCTAATCTTGTATCTTGCAACTCTACTGAATTTGTTTATATGTTCTAGTAGTTTTTGGTGAAATCTTTAGGTTTTCTGAATATAAGATTATATAGGCTAGCCATGGTGGCCCATGCCTGTAATCCCAGCACTTTGGGAGGCCAAGGTGGACAATCACGAGTTCAGCAGTTCAAGACCTGCCTGACCAACAAGGAGAAACCCTGTCTCTAGTAAAAATACAAAATTAGCCAGGCATGGTGGGGCATGCTTGTAATCCCAGCTAGCTGGCAGGCTGAGGCAGGAGAATTGTTTGAACCAGGGAGGTGGAGGTTGCAGTGAGCTGAGATCTTACCATTGCATTCCAGCCTGGGCAACAAGAGTGAAACTTTGTTTCAAAAAAAAAAAGATTATAATCTGGAAACAAGGATAATTTGATTTCTTCTTTTCCAATTTGGATACCCTTTATTTCTTCTCTTGTCTGATTGCTGTAGCTATGAGTTCTAGTACTGTGTTGAATATGGTGAAAGTGGACACCCTTGTTATGTTTCAGATCTTACAGGAAAGGCTTTCAGTTTTTCCCCGTTCAATATGATACTAGCTCTGGGTTTGTCATATATGGCTTTTATTAGTTGAGGTATGTTCCTTCTATACCCTGTTTTAAATAATGAAGGGATGTTGAATTTTA